CTTGTTTCATCGTCATTGGTTGTTGCTTGATGTGTCTTATTGTTGAGTTCACAGCGACCTTTACCGATACCAGAAGTTTTGAAGTTGGCTGACGTACATGATCCATGACGAGCACAAAGCAAACCGCAATGAAACTCGGACTTTGCTTGTTTTGTTTCGATGACATGATTCGCCAAGTATTTTTGCTTGTTTTTCCGAAAGACGACTTCCTTTAAGCGTTCGCCTGGGACGAAACGAGAAATTTTCAAATATTTAAGGTCCTGTCATACGGTGCAATTTTTCTTGCAAATTGCAATGCAATTCTACTTCTAAGAAATGTAACTTATTGAAGAGTCTTGCAGAAGAAAAGTGCATGAAGTTTAAACACAAAAGTTTCGTTATTCCCAAATATACATCCCTCAAAAGTAGAGTTGCATTGCAGGTTTCAAGAAAAATTGTACCGTGTAACAGGGCCTTTAGTTGCTATCTATATAAAACTAAGTACGCAGTAGTTTTGTTTAATTAATTTCGTTCATTAAATCGACGAATTCATTCATTATTTCATTTGATTCAGCCTGGATGCAGCGAACTGGTCAATTTAGTGTGTTATGTATAAACTACACCCGAGTATCGAAGTCAAGAAGTATCGTATTTTATTGTTTATCGTCCTTATTGCGCAATCAAAATCAGGGAACGTGGCTCACGTGGCCAAAGCTTGCCCTGTGATTGGTTTGCTACACTGCGCCGTGTCCGAATGTCACTATAATCAGTAACAATTGCGGAATAGTCTGCACGCTCACCGTTTTAGTGTCAACTAGTTGCTGTGATCGCAGCTTCCATTTCGCGACTACCTTCCGAACATACTCAGCACAATTTGGGAAGATTTTTTTACGCAATTTTAACAAGAATTGGTATAATTATGACAACAATTACGAAAGATATTACTCGCTGTGGACATACATTTGCTTATTACACATTATATTACACATTATTTTACACATTATATTATATACATTAGTATATACTTCTAAATAATTGACGTGAATATTTAATTGCATTTCGTATGCAAAAAGGATGAAACTGGAAAATTCTAGATGGGAAAATCTTACCGTGGCTCGAACCACTTTCGATGCGGTCGGATCCGCGCCAGCTGAGTGTGTGAATGAGTGTTATAAGAGCTTATTATACAACAGCTTGTTACACAACAACTTGGAATAAGCAGTGCGAACTCATTTTTTTTTATCAAATTTTTTTTATCAAACTTGGTACTACAAAGACTTTTGGTGTAAATATTAAAATGGAAGGGGGATAAAATAGAAAAGCAGAATGAAAAAGAAGTTATTTAGCTTTCCAAAGGCACCTTTCTACAATTCATAACAGAAAGAAATGGACAAATATTTTTTTAAAGTGAAAATTAGCGATCGAATTCAAACTTTCCCGAGTGAAGGCAAACGAAGAAAATTTGATCATGAATTTATTATGAGCTGTAATAAGCATGTATACGCCCATAACGTTGTCTATGTATCTATTTCTGCTTATTATGGCATAAGATATTTATGTGTTCCTGTCAAATTCAGAAAGACCTGCTACATTTTCAATCAGTGTATGTTTGAGAAAACCCGCGACTATAGAAATCGCTACCAAACCATGCATCCCGACAAGATTGGCAACACGACGCAGTATTTATCTCAATTTCTCAGTTCTCCGAAGCTTTTTCATCCTTTTCAAACCTTTTGAAAATTACTCAGCGATTGTGGATCAAAAACACACACAAAATGCGTACTTCCAAAATTTTCCCTCCGAATCAATTGTGACAGAAAATTCGCTAAATTTAAGGAGCAAGGCGAGTTTCCACGCAATGATTTGCGTTACGATAATTGCTTAAGTGATTCGACTACATGTGAAAACTAAAGTTACACGCAAATCAACACGTACCTTCATTTTGTCCTTGAAAACCAAAATCAAGACCATATCCAAACGATTGGAGATTCATGAATATCAGCAACGAAAGACTGACTTTGACATATACAAACAGAAAACGTCTTGGTTGCATAATCGATTCCATATTCACTGGCGACATGTTTTGGTAATTCAAAACTCTATATCTTAGACAAAATTCAACAGTTCAAAATTAGACAAAATTTTCCCCTTTAAAATTTTGTAGACAGACAATTCAACCCCTACTCAAGACCTATTCGGATAACGCATAGGTCTGCCTGTCTGACAACATAAATGCAGTCTTATATATGTCTGACAACATGCATAAATGCAGTTCATCTGCGCGTTACCTAGGTAACGCATTCTTGTTAATGAGACCATTTCAACTTTTTGAATCGTATAGGCGCTGTTACACCATGCAATTTTCCTTCCAACTTGCAATACAATTATAGTTTTAAGGGGTGTTAATTTGTAGAGAGTGTCTGCAATGCTGAGAAAGCGTTAGCAGATCGCAAGAAATGTTCGTATTTGACAACTTTAGATTCCTCAGGAGGATTTCCGATCCTCAAAAGGAAAGGCAAAATAAACTTATCGTCACCGAACGATCCGATTTTGGCAAACGTAAAAAGGAACGCTGATTTTATGAATTTCACCGTTTTCAATTCTATATGTACAACTTTATACTGCACGTTTAGTGTAACAGAGTCCGTCGATTTCTGTGGGTTTTATTTATTGATGATTTTAAGTTATCATTCTGAATGTACTGCTAATATTTATACGGAACATATCATATTCAGCTTTGGGATGGACTACAAATGATTATAACTATTTTCAAAAGTTCAATGAATGAGCTGCGTATATGTATAGCGCCATGCCGGCACAACGTATCATTATCTACATGCTTTAAAGTTATCAAACTCAAAGACTTTTTCGTGAATCGTGATAACATTATTTGAATGTCTGAACGTAACATACTACATTATAGTATGCTCCAAATTATTATGCAAATTAGTTCTCTAGTAAGATTTCATAAATTATTCATCATAAATATGTGAAACTTTCAGAGGTTCTCGTTACACTTTTAGAGATATTACACATTAATATTTTTGTTAACACTCCAACAGAGATCCCATTAGGACGTTTTATTCAAATAAAACGCTTTTGTTCTGCATTAGAATAATATTATATGCAAATAATAAACCATAGGTTGCACTTGTTACAATAGCGCAATATTAAGAATTCAAAGTTTTGGCTGTATATACTTCTGGAGCACTCGGTCCGCATGGATTGACAATAGAAGCCTTTTATAATTTACGACTTTTTTATTTGGATTGGCGTTCGTATACTAAGCCGTTGAATCACGACTTACATATGGTCCCCATGGGGCGGCCTTAGAACGGCGTAGCATACTTTCTGTTAAGGTGGTAATCGTAGTTAAAAGAAATTAATCCCATGGATAGTCTTTAGAGCAAACCATAAGTCGTAGACGCTTTGTGAATTAACTCATCTCTTGCACTATCCCCTTGACATTGTCCCACAGACTTTCGATAAGGTTAAGGTATTTTGACTGTGCAGGCCAATCCATTTCTGTCACTCCAGTTTCCCTCTTCCTGAAACCATTGCCTGACTATCTTGGAGGTGTGCCAGGTTGCATTATATTAATAAAATATTGCTTGGAATAAGAGAATTATCCAAAATGCCTGTGAAGCCCTCTCCTATATTTGCCTTCTTTTGTATGAATTTGTATCTAAACAGTTCTTTTTGACCGTTAGTGGATATTAAAAGATTCATTGTCACGATTCCTGTTACATACGATACTAGCAACATCCGAGCAGTTCTTTTTTACTGCCAGTGTACTACATTAGTATATATTACATACAAATTTAACGATATTCAGGAAGTGATATCAAAGGTCGAGGAAGAAAACGTTTTGCAAAATGAGGCTAGGAATAATGAGCTTTTTATCTCACAGGTGTCTAATTCCATGATTTTGCTCTATAGTATAACAAAAGCTTTGTTCCAGGTAATTAGTTTTTGGCGTTGTAACATGAACTCTAGAGTTCTAGGAGAGCATCTATATAAGTTTATATTCAGTGGTTTCATTAATTAACGCTTTTAAGGGGCTGTTTACATGAGCCTGGTTACCCGAGATTCAACGAAGCATGAGAGGACTTTGAGGTATTGAAATAAGTCTTTATGACGCCAAACAAGCACATGCTATTGTTGTGGTGATTATACGACTGCCAAGCTCAAGTTGTCTGTTCATTTTAATACCTCAAAATCATCTCACGCTTCGTTGAATCTCGGGTAACCGGGCTCATGTAAACAGATAAACCTAAATAAAACATTTTTAGTTCATTATCATATATGCATAGCTGATAGCTCATTAGTGCATTACATTTTGTGTAGACTGAAGACACGCGAACAAATAAAACCGATCGTAATTATTTTAATATTTTCATCAAGAATATAACGATGAAACTACACGTATTTTCAATTCTGGGAAGAGCCGTAAATAACGATATTCTATAATGTAGAGTTCTTCAAACGCTCTAAAATACCAGCCGGCCGTCTGTATACTGAAATACATCTGGAGCGGTTTGGCCGTTCTTCATATTTTGGGTATATTTCGAGAAGTATTTATAATTTTGAACTCGAAAATGATAATCGTTAGTAGATTTTCTATCGATGTAAGATAAAAATGAAAGATCCTCTGGGTTTAGTGTTTATAGTATACAGCAGGACCAATGCTTGAAGAATCATCTGCTCAAAAAAAAAGGTAAATTAAATCAGTTCATTCTGTAGCTTTTATTTATTCATTGAATATTTTACTTTTTCCATTCTGAATACAACGCTAACAGCAAGCATTCAGCTTCGAGATGAACCACAAATGATTTTATAAATATCGATTTCAAAAGAACAATGAAGGTGCATGATGCATATATATAGAGCTATTCTAATGGTTCTGAGGGTCTTAATTTCGAGTGGAATTATACACACTTCAAATTCAAGCCAGGAACAGTTGATGGAAAAATCAACTGTTCCTGGCTGGAATTTAAAGTGTGTATAATTCCACTCGAAATTAAGACACTCAGAACCATTAGAATTTACCTACATTGAGTGAAGTGCCAAAAATCATATAAAGAGCTATGCTCAATGATCATTATCTACTTGTTTTAAAGTTATTAAACTCAAAGATTTTATTCCTGATGACATTGTCTAAATACCTGAAATTAACATGCTAGTGATGCTACATTATTTTGCAAGGCATCTATATGTATCTAATGTCACTATTTAGGGTACGTAATGGATCTGAAATGCGTGAATCATTTTCACTGCACTAATATGTATCCAAATGTTAGAATGTTTTCAAGCCACCTATTATATTCACCACAGGCTAGATTTACTTTTTGGTGAAAACCGTGGTGGCTAACACCAAAACCAATCCAGGAGTCGGGGCTTTTACAGTCGTCTTGGTTGTTGGCGATCAGCCCGATTCGGGCTTTAATGTCGAAATGCGGACCGTGCCAGGGAGAAATTTCGTTTAGAATATTAAAACCCTGAAGGTTGCAGTTTTCTTGCAAGGAAGAGTCCGCGATCAAAGACTTCCAAATACTTTTCTCAGCGGATGTGTTTCGATACTGTCCGTCTGCGATCAAATTGTACAACGAATGTGCTTTGTATTCGATCACCATCCATCTTCTGTCGCCGTTAACGGTCATGCCAAGACATATTTTCTTAAAAGGAGTGTTCCAGTAAGAAGCCAGTTTACTTTCTTTCTCTGTAAGTCCTTCAAGTCCATCTTCAACTGCATAACTTTCTTTGTTTGTCCACAAAGACGATTTATAGAAGAAATTTGGCTATGAAAAAAATGTTTAATCAGGCAGCGATTCTAAGTACTAGAATTATTTTGATTCTTTCTTAAACGAGAATATGATTGATTCGAGATGGTCATAATGTGGTCAAAATTACCTTATTTCCATCCACTTTCAACACTAGTGTCCAGCCTCCAGCTCCACAACCTGTGATATCTGTCATGTGACAATATGCTTTGTATGGTGTCGAGGAACTGTTCAACTGCAGGGTGTAAGCACCATCGGGCAAAGACCTAGATTAAATGAAAAATGTCAATTCAGATGCTTTCCAGCAAAAATGCAGACAAGAAAACAATCTCGAACTTGTGTGATGTAAATCAAACTTACGGTTTGTTGAGTAGTAAGTCTTTGCAAGATGAAACTAAATAGCACTGTTTTAATACTAAATCGAAAATGATAAAACTGGTTATGCTGCCCCGAAAAAAAAATCATAAATTAAAATCCGTATTGGTAATTGCACTCTATAATTATATGCATTCTTAGGAGTCATACCTGAGGAGTATATCTGACCAGGCTCTGTGCAAGTCTGAAAAGAACATCAATGCAATATGCAGTTATTATGTATAATTCGGTAATTATTTTACGCGAATACACGTATTGGATATAAAAAATAGATAAGAGTATTGTTTATGAAAACTCGTCCACTGTATATAGTCTGTTTCAATGATGAACATATCAATTCTCTTTCTCCATAAGTGCACGTTTTAGTTATAATGAAATATTGATAAGGTTTCAGCATTTGTACATGTAATTATTAAGATTGTTAAAATTTCATATACTTACCTTAGTCCTATTAGGATTTTTCAGTTCGTAGTAATCAAAGTCTTTGTGCCGATAAAAATCTTTTTCAGGCATCTCTGAAGCAATATCTCGGAGGAATTCACAATTGTTCTCTGAGTTTGAGCATTTTTTGAAATTAGTAGATCTACACGCTTCGTTATCACGGGCACAAAAGTAAATGCATTCTACTCCCGTTCCTGCGTGGACTTTTTCTATCACTTCGCTGTTCAAACGACGACCTTTGGAATGGTGAAAATAGGTAAAAGGTAAATAACAGTAAATGCATTATACAGCAAGCGCAAAATTGTTGATTTTTTTGATCGGAACTTCTTCTAGGGAGAAAGGACGCAATTAACATATGGTTAAATATTAACGAAGGCGTATTACTAATGTGAGTGTTTGGCAAGTAAATAACTAGAAATGCATTGGTGATGAAGAATCCTTCGCTTATTTGAACAAATTAATGTGTATTTCAAAAACTGAAAAGTCATATTGTGAAACCGCTGTTTAGTCAAAAAATGTGACGCGAATATTCAGTTGGTTTTTTTTCTGAAATAGTGAAACATGTTAGCTAATAATTTTTTGATTACGCTTACGCAGTAAAGTCCCTGCAAAGTTTGCTTCCACACAGCGATTTTCTTTGTGCAAGTCACTTAATTTGATACACAGATATAACTGCATCCATTGTTAGCAATGTTAAAGAATAACTTTAAGATACTAATTTTTCAATACACACCTTCATTTGGTCCTTGAAAGCAAAAATCAAGACAATATCCAAAAGGTTGAAGATTCAAGAATATCAGCAAGGAAAGACTGACTTTGACGAATGCACGAAGCAAACGTCTTGGTTGCAAAATCAATTCCACTGGTTGTTTTTGTTGGACAAGCGACATGTTTACCGTCAGTCGAAACCTCTTAACCTAATTCAATTCGATATTTCTTATCCACCTCAAAATTCTATAAACAGGCAACTCAACTCCAACAGAAAGACCTATTCGGACACCCGGTCTGCCTGTCTGAAAACAAGAACGAAGACTTGTTAATGTGATGTACATTCATCATTAAATATGCACGACGCTTTTTTTCAAATCATCATAATTGCCAACATATGCCACTTTCATTTGCCATTATATATGTTGACAAACTATATTGCATTCAGTGGGATGCTTTGAATGAAACGTGGAATATAGCGAACTTAAGCTTGCGAAAAAATAACACAACAAGACACAGAAATTTAAAAACTCATTTGTTAGTGAACCGTTAAGAAACTACTTTAAACCCATTGATAGTATGATCAGCCTGACAATTTGGTCCTGTTATGGAAATTTTATTTAGTTTCATTTTTCGTAAACACATTAATTTCTTTCAGCAAAAAAGCTGAATATTTACATAGGTATGATGCAAACTGCTTAAAAATATATACAAATAAGTAAAAGTATACTCATTAACGCACGACATTACTATATATTATTACATACAAATTTAACGATATTTAGAAAATGATATCAGAGGTCAAGGAAGAAACCTTTTTGCAAAATGAGGCTAGGAATAATGAGCTAATAAGCTTTGTTTACGGTATTTAGTTTTTGGCATTGCAAAATGAACTCTAGTAGAAGAGCATCTAAGGTTATAAGATTATTCAGTGGTTTCATTAACGCTTTCAATTAGCTCTTATTAATTCATTATCCGACGTATATTGGTCATTATTGACCCTTTCAAAACGGTTTTTGTTTCGGACTGAACACACGCGAACAAGTAAAAGAATTCGTTCGTCAAGCAAAATTCTGCTCTAAGGCGATCTTCCACCATTTTTTGCCCATTTTTACAGCCCGAAAAAAAATTTGCTTTGCGCAAAAAATATCGCTATAGTGGAAATTTTATTGCGTGGCTGTATACATCAATTTACATGAGTGGATATTGGACACCTGCAACTCCACCCGCAAAATAAAAAAGAGGCATAAAAAATGTTGTATAACACATAACTGCCTAAAATAGGAAAAAGCACTTCTCCATAATTCGGAGCGGAGAACACATGTTTATTATATAGGGGCAAAACACGTGATAAAAATGGACCTATAGAAGACAAAAGAATAAAACAAATTCGAATGCAATGCATTACGTTAGTAAGCCCGCTGAGCTTCACTGTTACTGGTGCGTGCATTCTCGTTCCCATTATGCGAAAAACCTGGGAAAATCCGCAGAATGTCGGCAGATTTTTCGCGTACTGCGTGTGAGAGTGTTGCACAAAATTACATCCGCGTTCCCACTACGGGAAAAACCTGGGAACTTTGCGCTGATGATTTAACCTTAATATAAAAATCTTTTAAGAATGAGATGTATTAAAGAACTGCCTCTAAAGCCATACTCCTGTTAAAAATCGTAAACCTGTATTAACAATCAAAGCCTTATTTGTGATGATATTTTTGGAAGGCCTAGAATTTACATGCTACAATATTTTAATGTCTCTGAAATGTCACCGTTTATGCTAATTCGTTATTTTGAATATATAAATGCTGAACCTTTTCACGTAAAAACTATATGCAAGAAAATGCCACGTTCTTACAACCCATAAGCTAGTTATCTTAATAATTATTAACTAGAAGGTAGCGTGCTATTTTACTGTTTATTATTGAACAAGAATGTATCCAAACGTCGCCAAATTTTTATCACCGTTATCGGGTTGGTGCCTAGCAACATTTCCACAGGTCTATCCAGTGGACCTTGCTCCATAGCCAATCCAAGAGTCACACGTTTCACAATCTTCCTGTTCATTGGCTACAAGTCTAATTCGCATTCTTAAACGTAGGTTTATGTTAAACCCTTCCCTGTTGCAATTTCTCTGAAGTGACGAGTCCGCAATCAGGGATTTCCATGCTGCTCTGTATTCTTTAATTCTTTAATCTATATATTTTAATCGTATTTAACCTTAATATAAAAATCTTTAAAGAATGAGATGTATTAAAGAACTGCCTCTAAAGCTATATACACCTGTTAAAAATCGTTACCTGTATTAACAATCAAAGCCTTATTTGTAATGATATTTTGGAAGGGCTGGAATTTACATGCTACAATATTTTAGTGTCTCTGAAATGTCACCGCTTATGCTAATTCGTTATTTGGAATATATAAATGATGAACCTTTTCACGTGCAAACTCATAAGTTATCTTAATAATTATTAACTAGAAGATAGCGTGCTATTTTACTGGTTTATTATTGAGCAAGAATGTATCCAAACGCCGCCAAATTTTTATCACCGTTATCGGGTTGGTGCCTAGCAACATTTCCGCAAGTCCTTCCAGCTCCATAGCCAAGCCAAGAATCACACGAATTACAATCTTCCTCGTTATTGGCTACGAGTCCAATTCGCATTCTTGAATGTCGGTATTCATTATTAAAGCCTTCCCTGTCGCAGTTTTTCTGAAGTGACGAGTCCGCGATCAGGGATTTCCATGCTGCTCTGCCAGCGGTTGTTGCCCTAAATTGGCCGTCTGCGATCACACTGTACAGCGAAGTTGCAGTGTAGTTGAAGCTCATCCATTTTCTGTCTCCGTTATACGACATACCCAGGCAAATCTTTGTGAACGGAGTATTCCAATACGAAGCCAACTTGCTTTCTTTCTCTGTCAATCCTTCCAGACCATCTTGTACTGCGTATGTCTCTTTGTTTGTCCACAGGGAGGAACCATAGATAAATGTTTTCTGGAAAATTGAAAGTTCTTCAAAATTGAAATTTATCATTTTCATTACAAATTTATTGTTTAAAAATTAATACGCACTATACTCTTCATAACTGCAATCTAACCTTAGTCCCATCAAGCTTCATCACTAGGGTCCAACCTCCAACCCCACATCCTGGGATATCTGTCATGTGACAATATACCTTATATGGTGGTGAGGAATGATTCTTCTGAAAGGTGTAGACACCATTGAGCAATGATCTAGACATGGTTATAAAAAATCTGCTAAAAAAATTCTGGAATAAATTAAAGGTTGAAATTCATTGACTGTAATAGACCTTTGTCCACTGGTGTAAATCTATCTTTTTAACTTACGTATTCTTGGCAAACAATTCTGTGCAAGATTGTGGAAAAGCCTACAAAAACGAAAAGAATATATTCGTTTGGACTCATTAAAGCACGAAGATTTATCTTGTATGTAAATACCTCGAACGTTTATATCTCATTTCTAGATCTCGAAATTAAACTCGTAAATCTGGAAGAATATCTCGTTCGAGGGCATTTGCAATGCTTAAATATTGTGCAACATCACAAGTTAAATTTTCAAATATGATTTTTCCAAGATGAATTCAAAATGGATTATAATTTGCATGTCCACTTTTTATATAGTTGTTCCTAAACATTATTTTAACAAAACATGCAGCTATATATGCAATATGTAACTCCCGTATAAGCAGAATTAGTGGACACTTCATATTTTTAACAGAATTAGAGGACAAAACATATTTTTATGTGATGTTGCTATGGTTTTCATAGTAGTGATAAAAATTTTGCAAATTGTTTGATAATTATAATAAAACCACCAAAATTGCATATACTTACCCTTAGTGCCGTAACTACACTGCAAAAAATGCATTTTCTCATTTGAGTAAATGTTACTCAATTTTTGAGTAATTGTACCGATTACTCAATAATTTGAGTAAATTTTACTCCTCATTCGGTAAAGAGAAACTTTACTCTCTCTTGCGAGTAAACGAAAACTCAAAATGTTGAGTAAAGTGTTAGAGTAATTTTTACTCCAATTTTTGCGCAAATTTTACTCAACTATGAGTAAATTGATGAGTAAAATTTACTCAAGCTTACGCAGGAGATTTAAATACTCACAAATTTGAGTAAATGTAAAGTTTTACTCTTTTCCTGAGTAAACGCAGCATTTACTCAAATCATGAGTTATGTACAATGTGTAAAATTTACTCAAAATTTTGAGTAAATACAACGTGTATCAGTTACTAAAAAAACACGTAAAAAAAAAAAGAGTAAACTTTACTTTTACTACAAAACTATGCCGGCCACATATATCTTTCCAGTATTTGGGGCTTATTTTGACGGCTAAGTTATTAACAAGGCCAAGAACATTATTGGTTCATATATTAATATCACATAATACCACAAATTAAATATATACAATATATATATTATAATGAGCCAATCATGTTTTGCGTTTCCTTCGGTATGCTAATACAAGCGTACGGATATAATTAATTATAATGCGCCAATCATGTTTTGCGTTTTCTTTGGAGGTAAATGCTAATACAAGCGGACGGATATAATTAATTATAATGAGCCAATCATGTTTTGCGTTTTCTTTGGAGGTAAATGCTAATACAAGCGGACGGATATAATTAATTATAATGAGCCAATCATGTTTTGCGTTTTCTTTGGCGCGACGATTCAAATGACTCCAATTTCATTGTCAGTTTCAAATCACCGTGAGCTTCAACGTGCGGTAAAAGCTTGTCTTTGTGTCTTGGTATATTCAAATATTTCTTTGCTCTATAATTCCGCTGAACTGAGAAAAAAATGTTCACAGTGGAAGACGTTCACTCATGGCTTATTGCAGTTGGCTTTGGCGAGTATTGCCAGACGTTTAAGGTATGTTTTTGAGCTTGTTGTTAGCGGGAGATGTGGCGCGCAAATACTCTGTAATTTACTCTTGTTGTCAAATCCAAAGTACAATCGCGCACAAAATGTAGATATTTCAAATTTCATCACTATATAAAAGATAGCATATGCATACACTACCTTTAATTGTAAATCCCCGAAAAATCGCCGTGACATTGGCGGGATTTAGCCTTTAGGGGCATTGCATATAGATACGGCAGAACGTCGATGTTGGACACCATTGTTTAATGGTTTATATGAGAATTTCGAGTGCGGCTTATTTGGGGCAAACTCTGGAGCCTTGTCTTATTTTCGCTCGTATGTAATGGCCCTCATGCTTATATGAAACTTAGGCAGCTTATATATACTGTTTATATACTGTAAAAATGATATTTTGATTGTAAGCAGTCTCCTTGTTTGATCTTGTATGAATTTGTATTGAATAATTCATATCAAAAATTCAATTTCAATTGAGAGGCCACTAAAAATTGTGTTCAGTTAATAATATAAAATTATGTATTTTGGAGCACTAATAGTAATTTACTTATGGTTTTCAAAACACCAATTCACAAAAGATTATTTATACCTTTGACCAATAGATCATTCAAGTAATCAGGTTGCACATAAAGTGTCAGTTATATATATATTGGCTTCATGAAAGGTCTTATACATAGAACCTATTACTTTATTTACTTAATGACCTCAGAACAAAGGTCTCACAGCAAGTATAATATATTGATTTTTTGAGCACACATGCTCTTAGATATGTAATAGCTTTGGTCTTTCATTTTCATTGGACAACATAAGCAATAAAGGTATATAAAAAGAGCATCAAACATTAGAGTCAAATTACTGTCACATTTAAAGGTAACCATGTTAAATAATTTTACTAAAAATTGTGTTTGGCAAATTATGAATTAAGTGACATTGCAGTTTATTGTTTTGAATATTGGCCCTGGCATTGCTGTTTAACAGCTTTTGTGTAAGGTGGCTTAGACCGCCTTTAACCATCAGCTCACTTGGGCAGCACATTTTGTGTTGCCCATCAGTGAGAATTGCAAAGACAATATTCAAGACATGTATACATTTATGTTGATGCAGTTCTGCTGCTGTGTAAGGTGGATTCCGCCTTTTACCAGTACCTCTTTTGAGTGGCTTGTCCGCTCATGAAAGAGGAGATATATAAATGAATACACTCTGTAATGTAATTTAATACAAGGTTTTCTTTTAGACTGAGGTGAAATGACAGTTTTATATGGGGCTTATACATATTTTTTATCAAATTTGTATTTAATAATAATTTAACTAAAAATTGTGTTTGGCAAATTAGGAATTAAAGTGACATTGCAGTTTATTGTTTTGAATATTGGCCCTGGCATTGCTGTTTTACAGCTTTTGTGTAAGGTGGCTTAGACCGCCTTTAACCATCAGCTCACTTGGGCAGCACATCTTGTATTGCCCATCAGTGAGAATTGCAAAGACAATATTCAAGACATGTATACATTTATGTTGATGCAGTTCTGCTGCTGTGTAAGGTGGATTCCGCCTTTTACCAGTACCTCTTTTGAGTGGCTTGTCCGCTCATGAAAGAGGAGATATATAAATGAATACACTCTGTAATGTAATTTAATACAAGGTTTTCTTTTAGACTAAGGTGAAATGACAGTTTTATATGGGGCTTATACATATTTTTTATCAAATTTGTATTTAATTGCACAAAAAATTCAGCAACTAACACTTAACAGTACTAAACATCTTATAAAATACAAGATTACATTTAAGTAATATATTTATCTTTTTTACTTGACACTTACTCTTTGATATGTGATATGGTCTAATGTGTTTGAGAGAACACAAGCTGCACCATCGCAAAAATAAACATGTGGCAAAATGAAAACTATAACTTGTTTTATTATTTATGACTAAATAAGTTACGTACCATGCTAAATGATTTAACTAAAAGTTGTGTTACTCAATATAAGTTGGACAGAGACATCAGCGATGAATGATAAAGAAATGGCGAGTTCACTAAGTAAGATCAAATACATGTCTTCTCCGAATCAAAAGAGAGAAAAAAGACAGGAAGACAAAGAAAACAAGAAAAAGAACGAAGAAAAAAGTGACTTAATTGGTACTGTTTTTTGAGGCGAGTTTCTTTTTACTTGTGTCATTAACATTATAGGCCAGGCTTGATCCTGGCTGCTAAGTAACAAAGCAATTACGAGGTCTTTATTTGCCTTACCGAGTACAGTACCCATTTGAGACAAACACCAGGGCGTTGGGTGAAAGGTTGCTTAACGCTCAAGTCTTCTGTCAATATAAGTCTATCTGAACGATATTTTATTTATCTTTTCTATAGGACGGAAGTTTCGAGAATGCAGCAAAAGAATGTTATGCAAGCGGTAAAGCTTCATTTTGCAAACAAGAACAATTATACATTATACATAGCAAAGTCTCTAGGTTATCTTTCTTCATTTTTACCGAAATGTACGTTATTTGCAAAATAAAATTTGTCCTCCAGATGCCAACTGTGACATCATGAGTTTTGCATTGATGACTGCATGTCATTTTACTATATTATTGACAATGTATATACCACTTTAACAAAACTTGAGGCTGTGATTGATTGTATATTCTGATTGTGTAACTGCGATTCGTGTGCTGCAAAATAGCAGGCCTGTTGTAAATTAATTTTTAAAATAGATAATTTCATTGAACAAGTTGTTTGTGTGCATTTTTTGTCTCGATCTACATTATTATGTAGTGCGGTGTATTCTTGTTATTCTCCTTGTTTCAAGTTTTCACTTTTTTTTTTACTCAGAATTGCGAGTAGCTGTCATCACAGTAGCTGAGCAATTTGGAAATCCAATTGGAAGTCAAATTACGCAAACGTTCGAGTAGCTTTACTCGTCTTTTGAGTAATTCCCGCGTTTACTCAAAATAAGGAGTCACTGTGGAAGCAATTTGTCCGAGTAACTGGTACTCGTTTTTTGAGTAGAAACTACTCTTATACTCGAGTAAATTTACCGAAATAATGAGTAGTTTCTACTCAAAAAATGAGTTCTAGTTACTCAAACAAATTGCTTCCACAGTGACTCCTTATTTTGAGTAAACGAGAGAATTACTCAAAATTGCGAGTATTTAACTGGGTTTACTCATTTAATGAGTAAATAAGGGTACATAGCTTTTGAGTACTTTGTACTCTTTTATTTGAGTAATATTTACTCAAAACAAGCGAGTAATTTTTACTCAAATATTTTGAGTATGTTTTACTCAGTATAATGTGTCACTGTGGAAGCAACATTTTACTCAATAATTTGAGTACAATTTACTCAGGATTTTTTGCAGTGTAGCACGATGATTTGGCGGCGGGGGTGAATATTCATACATCCAGTTCTGCCTTATGGATTTACTTTTTAAGTGCAATGGCTTACACAAGAAATCCGTCAGGCAGAACTGAATATATGAATATTCACGCCCCCCCCCTATAATCGCTCTAGTTACGCCCCTGCTTACCCTAATCCTATTAGGACTTGTCAATTCGTAGTAATCAAAGTCTTTGTGCGGATGAAAATCTTTCTCAGGCATCTCTGAAGCAATATCTTGAAGGAATTCACAATTTTTCTCTGAGTTTGAGCATTTTTTGAAATTAGTAGATCTACACGCTTCGTTATCACGGACACAAAAGTAAATGCATTCTACTCCCGTTCCTGCGTGGACTTTTTCTATCACTTCGCTGTTCAAACGACGACCTTAGGTAAAAAATAGGTAAACATTATACAGCAAGCGCAAAATTGTTGATATTTCTGATCGGAATTTCTTGTAGCGAAGCAATTAACACATAGTTAAATATCAATGAAGGCGTCTTACTAATGAGAGTGCTGAAATGCATTGGTGAAGAATGAAGAATCCCCACTCTTATTTAAACAAATTAGGCCCGTCTCACTCTCAGACGTCAAACTTTTCATGTGCCGAACCTAATGTTAATGAACTAAAATCTTTGATTAAGCTCATTTGCATTTGATTCGCCACATGAAAAGTTCGACGTCTGAAACGGGTCTTATTAATACGTATTTTAAAAACTGAAAGGTCATTGTAAGACCGCTGTAAAGTTAATAAATTATAAATGTGGCGCGAATGTTCAGTTAGTTTTTGTTCTGAAATAGTGAAACATGTTAGCTAATAATTTCTTGATTACGCTTACGCAGTAAAGTCCCAGCAAGATGTGCTTTCACACAGCGATTTTTTTTGTGCAAGTCACGTATAATTTGATACACAGATATATAACTTTAAGAGATTAATTTTTCAATACATACCTTCATTTGGTCCTTGAAAGCAAAAATCAAGACAATATCCAAAAGGTTGAAGATTCAGGAATATCAGCAACGAAAGACTGACTTTGACGAATGCACGAAGCAAACGTCTTGGTTGCATAATCAATTCCATATTCACTCGTTGTTTTTGTTGGACAAGGCACATGTTGGACAAGCGACAAGTGGAAACTTTTATCTTAAAGTAAAATTCCTTCTCAAAATGTTATAGACTCCAACAGGAAGACCTATTCTGACACTGGGTCTGCGTGTCTGACAACAAGAACGAAGACTTGTTAATGAGATGCATTCATCTGCGGTAGAGAGTTAAATCCGCCACGCAATCGTCCTTTTCAATTTATCATTAGTAACACATGTCAATTTGGCTTTAACAAACATACTAATTTATCGAGCTATATGTAACATGCCGAAACGAATGGCAGACTGTTCGACATGGAAAAATTACCAAATTAAGAAAAGTTAAAATATTAAAGTTTAAAAATTTTAAATTCAGTAGGATCGATGCACGATGATGCATGAGTGAAAAGGAAATGAAAACTTTTTCTAATATTAGTATTCGTTTCCTGAACACGATGAGCTATATATACCAATCAATAATGTTTATTGTAGCTATATACATCGAAATAATCCCAAAAAAGGCCACTTCATAGCTCATTGGTTCATGGTTCGTTAAATTTAGTTGCATCTTTGACATTGATAAAAAGCTTTTTATAGATTAGTCGTTTTTCGACAACGTCGCGTCGTGCTAAACTGTATATAGGATATTATTTCCAATATATAACACTTAAAAAATTGTTTTTAGTTAGTGAAACAAATATGGAATAACAACTGCCTAAAATAGAAAAAAACACTTCTCGACATTTCGACCTTTAGGAGAGTTATTATGAAAACGATAACTCATTTGGGTTTTCCCAGAAATTTCCATTCCATATCAAACATTTGTATTGCATGATTTTCAGTTACATCGACCGAATGAAGTAAGGAAAAAATTCGCACTTTTATTTCCAAGTTTTGAATAATTCAGTAACTTGTCACTGAATTATTACATGAGCCTTCATGAGAGACATAAGAAACAGAGCAGTAAAAACGAAACCTTTTGCAAAATAAGGCTAGAAATAATGAGCTTTTTATCTCACAGGTGTCTGATTCCATAATTTTGCTCCATTATAAAAAAACCTCTGTTTAAGGCATTCGGTTTTTGGAATTGCAACATGAATTCTCGTAGAAGAGCCTCTAAGGTTATATATTTCATCAAGAATATGGCGATGAAACTGCATTTTGAGTGCCGGGAAGATCTAAATAACGATGTTATATTTTATAATGTAGAGTTCTTCAAACACTCTAAAATACCAGCAGTTCGTTTCCGTTCTTCATATTTTGAGTATATTTCGAGAAGTATTTATAATTTTGAACTCGAAAATGCTAATCATTAGTAGATTTTCTATTGATGTAAAGTGAAAATGAACAATCCTTTGGGTTTAGTGTTTATAGTTTACAGGGTCCGCGTCTGCAGGGCCAATGCTTGTAGAACCATCTGCTCAAAAGAAAAGGTAAATTAAATTCACTCTGTAGCTTTTATTTATTTATTGATTATTTTAATTTCCACATTCTGAATACAATGCTAACAGAGGGAATTCAGCTACGAGATGAACTACAAATGATTTTATAGTAAACGTAATGCATCTGAAATGCCTGAATCATTTTCACTGCACTAATATGTATCCAAATGTTAGAATGTTTTCACGCCACCTATTATATTCACCACAGGCTAGATTCACTTTTTGATAAAAACCGTGGTGGCTAACACCAAAACCAATCCAGGAGTCAGGGCTGTCACAGTGATCTTCGTTGTTAGCGATCAACCCAATTCGGGCTTTAATGTCGAAATGCGTACCGCGCCGGGAAAAAATTTTATTTAGAATATTAAAACCCTGAAGATTGCATTTTTCTTGCAAAATAGAGTTTGCGATCAAAGACTTCCAAATGCTTTTTCCAGCGTCTGTGTTTCGATACTCTCCGTCTGTGATCAAATTGTACAACGAATGTGCTTTGTATTTGATCACCATCCATCTTCTGTCGCCGTTAACGGTCATACCAAGACATACTTTCTTAAAAGGGGTGTTCCAGTAAGAGTCCAATTTACTTTCTTTCCTTTCAAGTCCTTCGAGTCCATCTTCAACTGCATAACTTTCTTTATTTGTCCACAAAGACGAATTATAGTAGAAATTTGGCTATGAAAAAAATTGTTTAATCATCTAGTGATTCTAAGTACTAGAGGACTAGAGTAGTATTACTATTATTTAGTAATTACTAGATCTTTATGGAGAATTACAGATGTACGCATGTGACCAAAATACTGCGCAATGATTGGAAGTTAGACAAATAAATTATTAATGAATTTCACAAATCTAGTTTAATTGTGCTATTGTAGTAATTATTTCTGTTAATATCTGTTATATTTTGCAGAAACTTAAGTTTTGAAATTCATATTTGTAATCATTCATTTGGAATTATTTTGATTCTTCATTAAACAAGAATCTGATTGATTCGAGATGGTTGCAATAAAATCTTGCCTTATTTCCGTCCACTTTCAACACTAGTGTCCAGCCTCCAGCTCCACAACCTGGGATATCTGTCATGTGACAATATGCCTTGTATGGTGTCGAGTAACGGTTCAACTGCAGGGTGTAAGCACCATCGGGCAAAGACCTAGTTTAAATGAAAAATTTCAATTCAGATGCTTTCCAGCAAAAATGCAGACAAGAAAACAATCTCGAACTTGTGCGATGTAAATCAAACTTACGGTTTGTTGAGTAGCAAGTCTTTGCAAGATGAAACTAAATAGCACTGTTTTAATACTAAATTAAAAAAGGATAAAACTGGTTATGCTGGCCCGGAAAAATTGCATCCATTAAAAGTGACCACTCTATAATTATGCA